AAATATAGCTGACGTAGAACATGTTGTATGTGTGAAAATAAACCATATCTCACCTGCCCTCAATGGACGAAACTTTGGTGTACTGAACTTGTCCCATAGAGATACTGTTATAGCAATTAATCCAAATATGCTTATCAGAGCAATATATGCATAGCGGGCCACGTGTTCACAATAAAAACTATAGTATAACCATGGTATAAAAGAACCAACAATCAGGAAAGAGATTCCAGAGTAGTCCAATCTAAAAAATACAAGAAATAAATGTTTATTAGTTGATTTTGTTTGATACAATGCAATGGAGAATAACATTTCATTATTATAGAAACGAGGTAAAAGAGAATGAGTGGGTGGTTGTACATGTGCAACATATTGACTTGTTTTGTGGTGTAAACAAGGAGACCACAAAGCAATTTTAAAATTTAAACAAGTTTACTGCAAACAACATTAAATTCTATCTCTGCTAGGAACAGGAACAGAATAGTCAGATGTCTGATGACCAGGACCTGCACTTTCTGTAGAGTCAGCTATTTTTGCATGTAGGAGAGTGGCAGATAATATGAAGTGCACCCTCTGTGTTCCTCAAAGAAATGTTTTACAGTTCATCCACAGAGGGAAGCCAATTCATCCATATGTATCATGATTCTCATGCTAGCATTATGATTTATTAAAATTTATTTTATGATTATTGGATACCTGTTGAATTTTGTTTAAGCAGTTCTCCTGAATCCATAATTAGGTTTTTAATGTCAGGCCAGTAAAAGTAATTAGTTTAAGACAAAAAAGGTGGCACTGCAGAAGATAACGCAAAGGGTACCTCATTGGCTCCATATCCAGATACAGTGGCACCCAGGGGAATTAGCTAAAAGTGCAGATAGATTATGCAGCTGTACACAAGCTTAGTGACAATACATTGCAATACAATGGTAGTGTGTACAACAATTACAAACAAAAACAAGTGCCACGAGTCTCCATGTATCATCACTGCTCTAACTATTAATGGGTACTATGATTCCAGATCTACAGCAAGGTCTACCCCATTATCAGGAACATAATCAGCACTCAATGATCAAAGGGAGTTACACCCGGGATACAGGATGATAATTTGCAAATTGCTGTATGGAAAGACTGTAAAATCATGTGTTTCATGACAACAGCAATAGAGGTGAGAACAAGGTGAGGACCCAGTATGAGTAGACGTACAAAACACCCTACCAATGGTAACTACATGTACCAGCCAGTAAACATTTGATACCCATTTATGTAGTTATCCTTTACAATAAATATTTGGGGGTTGATTTGAGTGATCCAATGATGTCCTACTATCACCCCAGCTTTACCAAGTCATGTTGAATGCATTTATCACTTTACAAACCAACAAATTTAAATGAATATCCTTATAATATCAAATCTGCTACTAAAATATTTCTCCTTGTACAGTATGTAAATTTCTGTAGAATTGTAAATCATGGACAATGCTCGAACAACACTAGAAATGTAATCATATAGTTATAGTTATATAATAATCACAAAGCATCAATACAGCAGTAGCTCACTGATGTAAAACAACTGATTTTGATAACCCTCGTCATTGATTTTAATTCTATCTTGTAACTCGAGGTCAAACCTAATCAACTCCATGCTCCACTAACTGGCCATACAACCCCCTCCCCTCTCAACTACTCAATTTAAACAAGCATGTACATGTAATAAATTGTATTTATGTCGGTTGCTGAGCAATACAATTTGGATATGACGCATGTTTTTGCCTCTATATCATCCAACTACAAAGCATTGAATCACCCACATGGCATGATATATGGTGACGCATTACAGTGGATCAAAAGGCTAAGGCTAAATATATGTAAATAGGCAACAGCTTTTATCTACCTCACATGTTTAACTCATGATATACAATGTATGTACAGACACGACTACACCATGTAAAAGTCTTAATCTTCTGAACTTTAGACTCTTCCATGGACTTTGTTCACAGCACACTTAATAACAAACACCAAAACACCTGCTACCAGTGACTATTTTTTTTAAATTAGTCATGATTATATTTAGGTGTATCATGATAGGGATGTGTCAAAACTAATTGACAGTTAGGCTCCCTTCTTAAATCTTTCTGAATTGAAAATAGCACAAGAGGAGAAGAACATGTAGTTGAATTGGACAAATATCCTACCAAGAAAGCTATCAGACAACCTGGTGTAACTCTGTAACGTGATTATGTTGGGTATGCAAACATTAAAATAAGATACAGGTATGCATTCAAGCTGTAAACAGACGAGTCCACTTAGAACTAAATTTAATTTACTACAACAATTATTTCTTATGTTGTTAACCTAACTAATATTATACATGTACACATCACCACAAGATCATTTTCAAATTTTGAGTTTCTTTAAAGTAAATGAACATGATTAGCTAAAGGCAATGCATGTCTCAATTGTGAAGTAGTTAAACAGTCCGCCAATACTGTAAGACCATTAACATTAATTATCTGCCTGGTGTCCCTGATATGATTAGTTATGCATTTTTAATAATATCACCATATTATATGCTTATTAAATAAGTTGAAAAAATCATGGGACCAATGTCTTCAATAAAGCACTGGTTGAAGGTCTCTATCTGCAATAGTGCTCCAGATATGATATTTGTGCATTTTTTAATAGGTCACATCATCATATATGGTGTTCCGGTTGTGATATTTATATATTTTTAATTAGGTCATATAAACATACATGTGCAGTATTACTAAGCTTTACACGAGTAAACTTTATTTTAGTTTCATATGGGAAAGAACTGCAGCATACTGATTAAAAACCCAGAGCACTATTCAGTGACAGACAGAGAATATCTCACATTGAATACACATCTCGGGTAAACACACTCCTAAAGTAATTAGATCACTACAAATATGGTGATGACAAGCTTTTTCTCCAGCATACATGCTTAGTTTCAAAATAGGCTTGACTAATGATTCTTACAAGTGTAAAAGTAGACACAGATCAAACACGATAAAACACACACATATTGACTTGCGGATATTAGACAACTTAGTTAGGTAAGAAGCCATAGAAGGCAGCACATGTATGCACTATGATGTTGACTTACTTGCTGAACATTTTCGACACTTTGTAAGAGTGGCAGTACACTGTGTGAAACACCCAAGATAAGCCAAGACATAGTATGGCACCGGTGAAGAACGCCATAAAGACAGCTTTTTCTTGCCATGTGTATTCAGATGGATGTACCAAAAATATTCCAGTCAGTATAACAAAAGCTACAAAACCTATAGAGAAAATATTTTTTTATTAATCATGATGCGTAGAGGCATGTAACAACAAATATACAGATGACTTTTCAGATTATTTTTAAATGCTACAGATACACCCCTTCTAATTTCAGATGCTAATAGATTCAACACTTTGGGGTTATCACAAAAATACCATGTGATTGTACTGCCAGACACATAGTGGAAGTCAATGCTTTCTAATATGCTGTATATTTTGCAGTATTCTTTTGATAACTTTATTTTTAATAGCCCAAAATGTCAGCGAAAAGTATTGATGCCTGCGTTTGCTGTGTTTGACAATTCAGTCACATACTACGATGTTGCTACATCTAATATAAAGAAAGGAAAGTGTTGAAAATAAGAAAGACATTCAAATGTACCTATAATACCGTACTTTTGAAAACATGCATAATGCTACCCTAACAGACATTAGACACTCAAATTGGGCCATTCCAGTTTATATCTGCACCCCCCCCCCCCCCTGTTGACGAGTTTGTGAGTTTACTTCATACAGGGTATAATTTCCATGGGTGTACAAGTCATACAAAGTTTTATTTCTAAATCACCATTCACCA